TTCAAATTTGATTGGTCAGGTTGTAACTTCTTCGCGTCTGAAGTGCTTGATTAAAGTTTTACAACAATGTGATTGGAAAAAAGAAAATTATTTGAAGTATTGTTGGATTTATATGACCGATAACACATTGTGCTACACAATATGATTGATGACACTTAAAAAAAAAATATTGTTTTCATTTTTTTTTTTTAGTCACATTTTCACTATTCAATACATTTTTGGTCATTCAGCTCAGGTTCTGGTTTATTTTGTTCATTTATGAATTTTGTGCATATAAGAATATTTTTTATATTTTTTATGCCGTTTCATATAGTTTTTCATGATTTTCATACTAAGGTAGATAAGAGGACGAATGTGGAAAGGACTAGACGTATTGAACCATGTACTTATGAAAGAAACCAAATTTCATACCTCCAAGTGCCCGGGTTGATTTCTTAATTTTTACATGAAAATTTATATCGGCTGTCCAAAAACTCATAGTTTCTTTCTTTACCCCTTCCGCTACCCCTTTCCTTTGCAAGATCCCTTAGAAACTGAATTCTAAAATATATGTGTTTTCTTTTCTATGAATCACCATATTCTTGGATAGCTTGATAGTAGAACTGTTATCACAGGAAGTTCTTCAATGCTAATTTTTCTCCGAATTCTCTAAAGTAAAAAACATTGCTCCACATTATGATTGATAACACTTGGCTAGATCTTTTGTAAGATCGATTTGGCTTGTTTTCTCCTCATCCTTCCTTCGCCTACATCCGTGCTTCAACTTGCTGGTCTTGGTGTTTCAGAGATGTTGCCCTAGGCTTAGACTCGGCTCGTGAGCTTGAGGACAAAAGTTTCTCCTCTCTGGTTGCATCGTCGGGCGCCCCGTCAAACATAAATTTTCTCTTGTGTGGTGGAAGCCGATATACAGATGACGATTGGATGGGGAGGTTTTGGTTGGAGGTGTTTTCCTTTCACCCCCCTCCATCCGAGTTGGTTGGATCGTCAAGCTTTGGCTGGTGGGAATTAACGACATCATTTGTTTCTTCCATCGACGACAAAGACTACATAAGGGGCATTCTAGCGGCTAGGATTAGGTTGGTTGAAGCTGGGTTTGGGCCCTATTGGGTTCTGGACTTTCTTGTGGCCATGTGGTGTTAGTCGAATTTGTCCTTGTTGTTTAATGCTTATAGATTTTTGCTATGGGCTTGGCACAATTGCTCTTAATAAACTAATCTATAAAAAAAAGATATATAACACTTGAAAATATAGTTTTCATGTCTTTTTCTTAAGCGCATTTCACTATTTCAATACATATTTAGCCATTTAGCTATGAATTTGGTTCATAATTGTTCATTTGTGCATTTTGTGGCATATAAGAATATTTTTATAATTTTGATGCATTTTCATGTAGTTTTTCATGATTTTCATACTAGGGCAGATAAGAGGACGAATGTGGACTTTGACTAGACGTATTAAACCATGAACTAAGGAAATAAACCAAATTTCATACCACAAAGAGCCTGCTGTGATTTCTAAATTGTCATCCAAACACCCAGTTTCTCTCCTTACCCCTTGGCAAACCTCACTATTAAATCTCGTGCTCAAGTTAGAGTGCACAACTAAATTTGAACCTTCTTTTTTACGTGGGCCCACAAAATTCAGATTTAAGTGTGGAGAATTAAATACATTTTATTTTTCTTAGTTTTCTTAATCGACTTTATCTTCTTCGTTCTAACTCGAATTTCAATTTTTTTGCACAGATGTTACAAGTTCGTTGTGCCATACAAAATGAGATCCATTTTCAATATTTTTTAACAAATTGTTTTCATACCTCTCGTTCTCAACTCCATACCATATGGTATCTCCTTCGTATTTAAGTCGTTTTTGAAATTTTTTGCACAGAAGGAATGATTTCATCATAATCTATTGGATGTACAAATTTCTAGTGAAAAAATACAGGACCAAAAAATACCACACAATACCAACCTGGTATGCATAGTGGTATCTTGTGGTACACAATGTTGAAATTAAGTTTTAAATGACAGTTAGTATACTCCTACTATCATGTATATTCAACCATCGTACAGTCTTGGTATGTTCATACTAACATGGTACGCTTTCATATCATATGATATGCTCTTATTTTAATACAATCAATATCACCATGGTATAGACTGGTAAAAAAATACCTCATTTTCTTTGTTCAAAAAATATATCAAAATTGATATCATTTTGAAGAGCACAATTAATCTGATTTATCTGTGCAAAAAATAATCCAACGGAAAATGAGATAGAAATCATCCCTTAAAGATTAAAGGCTTTCCATAAGAGAAATAGGCGTACTGATGTTGCGCATTCTGATTGGGTTACTCATTGTTATGCACCATAAGATTGCTGATCAGATTCGCTCCCATCAATGAGAAGTATCCAAATTAAATTTGTAACTAGACCTGGCAATCTGGTCGGGTTGGGTAATTTCGGGTTGGGGATTTGGGTTACGGGTCGAGACATGTTTGATTGCCTAATTTCGGGTCATATATTGACCCAACCCATTCGGTTTCGGGTCGGGTTACAGGTCATTTCGGGTTATGAGCGTTCTCAGAAACAATGTCAAACATGCTTCATATTTTCTTAAAGAACACAAATTTTCACATATGCATGACAATAGTTTACTTAACACATGTCAATTAACATATTCTCAAATCCTCCCATGCTAATGAAATGAAATACAAATTGCGCAAATCGTCAAAAAACAATCACAAAAGTAATACTACTATAAGAAACACATGATATTTGATTATCCTTAAACTCCAAACAAGTCATTCAAATCCTTGTGATTTTTTTGATCATCTCACCAATTTATGAGTGATTTTATCATTTTGAGAGTGATATATAAAATGGAACGGGTCTAACGGGTCGACCCGCTAACCCGCCTAACGCGACCCAAAAAATTACGAATTATCGGGTTCGGGTCACAAAAATTTATAGTTTTCGGGCGGTTTCGGGTCGGGTCAACGGATCGGGTTGTAATTTGCCCGTTGTATTTGTAACTTTATATATAAGCGGGGTTCTCACTAAAACCTGAGCATATATACCAAAAATCTAAGATGGTTTATGTTTCTGCTTTCACATGTGAAAATAGAGAACGAGAACTTGTATAATTCTGTTTTCGTATATTGTTGTGGGAATTAATTAACATGAATTGGTAACACTATAGAAATTAGCTAAAACATTGAAAATACTTTAATTAGCTTCCTGACTGTTTACAAAAGTTGTTTGCTGGGGAATCCTATAAGTTGGTGAATTAATTTAATTCAAGAGAGTCTATGATCAAATTTTAGAAGCCTCACTTTGTATTCCTCTTTATTTTTTCCTAAATCATCCCGAAACATTATAGTCATTATTATTTTCATACTTTTATTTGCCTCATTTTTCTCATAACTCGTCGTGAGACATAGGGCTGCAAATGAGCCAAGCTGCTCGCGAGTGGCTCGGCGTTCGACTCGAGAAAAGCTCGTTCGAAACTCGGCTCGTTAATAAACGAGCCGAACACGAGATCACCTTTGTTCATCTTGTAAAGCTCGCAAGCTAGCTCGACTCGGTGGCTTGTTGAGCTAAACTCGTGAGCTGGCTCGTTTAGAGCTCATGATATGTCTTAACATGTGGATAGAGAGCCAACTCGATTATCAACTTATGGACGAATCAATCTATATCTTATGATTTTAATTCATATGGTTGTTAATTTATATATCTCACCATATATAAAGTTTTGCATGTTGAGTATGTGAGCAAATATATCTTATTTTCTACTTTAAAAAGAAATTATGCATAATAGATTGCTTCGATACAATGAAATAACATGATTTTGAGTAGTTCAAATTTATTAACTAAACGATATATGATACCAACAAAGTATAAAGTATAAGATGAGATTAACTAACAAAATAAATCATATGTATCGTGATATACAAAATGAAGTACCAAATAAAAGTTAAGATTTTAATAAACAAGCTAGCTTGATCTCGACTCGACTCGGCTCGTTAATAAACGAGCTGAGCTCGAGCTCGACTCGTTTATTAACGAGCCGAGCTCAAGCTGGGGTAAAACTCGACTCGGCTCATTTGAAGCCACTGACACACTATTTCTCCCATTAGATATCTAATTTTATCTTAGTCTCAATGTCAATACTAAACGAAAGCTAATGAAGTAACTAAATAAATTAAATTGTCAACATCCACAATATTTAAGAATTACCAAATAAACATCCACAATATTTAGTACTGCAACTGTTAAACAAGGATAGCACTGAAGAAATGAGAGAAAAAGCACCGATCAGATAAGAAGAGAGAGGATGAGAAACGAGGGCAAGGAAGAGTGAGGCTTGATCACTCTTCTCATCCGTTCCTTCCTGAAACTAAATACTATGGGCTAGACTAAACTTAGGCCCACAATAGTCTTAAAACAAATAGTTAGGAAACCTTGCTGGGCCAGAATGAAAAAGCCCACTGTTCTAAAGTCTGGAACCCGTCTTCTTCGTTGGGATGAAGAAGGTTCAGAAACATGGGTGATTTCCAGAACAGAGCAAGCAACAAGTAAAGCGAAAGAGAAGGATCAGAGATAGCACACGAGATTTTTAACGAGGTTCCCAAACTACTGGTACGTCCTCGTTCTAGACTCAGTACACACTGAGGTCTAGGAGACTCTTTTTATTTGATTTTTCCTATCAAGCAAAAGAATGAAAAACAGCAGACTCAAGACTGAAAACAAGAACGAAATTGTAACGAAACAGAACAAAGAAAAACCCGGATCCCGATCCCAGACCCGTTACAACGTTAATCACACAGATCCTCTTCCTCTGTTCAGATTAACCCTATTTGTAAACAGCCCTATACCACTTTTACAAAAGATGCGGAGGACTTCTTGCTCGAGGAGATATATAGGCTTGGCCAGGCTGTCCTGCCGTTGCATCCTGCCGTTGCATTTGAAAGATTGCCACAAGAGCTAAGCCGCAAAACCAGCCTGTTAAATCCCTTTGATTCCTGGATACTTTCTAAGGTGCAATGAAAGTTTCCATATCAACAATCTTCCCCTGAAACTGAAATTGCAGTTTGCCGAAAGTGCCTGCAGCAACAAACACCTTTCTATGCGAAACATAAAGAAATATTCAAAGCAACAAACAAATACTAAGAAACCAGAGCAAAATTAAACCGAGCATCCAAAAGATCAAAAAGACCACAGCCTGGTCAAGCAAGCCAATCCAACAGAGTAACAAAGGAAACAGAGAAACCAGTCAAACACCAGACCAACACAGGAGCACGCTCCCCTTAAACCTCCTAAACTCTAGAAACATAAATAAGCAACAAAGCGGGCTGCCCCTGAACAAAGCGGGCTCCCCCTGAGAGTTAGAAACCTTCATTGTCAGATCCTGAGCCATAAAGGTCCTGAAGAGCTGCTACGAAAGGTTCCAACCCCGCAGCAGAACCAACATCCGAGTCATCCGAGGAGTCTGAGTCTGAGTCTGAATCATCACTACTGATAATGTGAAAAGCAGGCACACCATCATTCTCCCCCTCAACTGCAATTTGCATAATGTCCATGACATCATCAGCCGAGAAGAAAACAGTGGGGGTGGAGGTGCGAAACAAGTTGAGGTTGATATCCAGACGAAGCAGCAGCTGAGTAATCAACGATCCGAAAGGCAGAGAGACCTCGAGAGAGATGTTGGCAAAAGGAAGAATCGCCCCAAAGAAGAGAGGAGAGTAGTCCAAAGGGGTACCGTGCACAGCATGAGCAATGATCCAGACATAAAGAGGGGTCAACAGATGAAGGTTACCCGTCCTAGGAAGGAAGACTTGAGTGAGGAAGAAATGAAAGACCTGAAGGACAGGAAGCAAAGTGCGAACAGGAATAAGCTGATCTGAACCAGGGCGTTGACCGGTGATGACTTGGAATTCCTCCATAACATCGAAGCCAAAAAGACCAAGCTCCGATTCATCAGCAAGATTTTCACCATCTTGTGGTATGTCCAAAAGTAAACCAACCTGATGAACAGGAATGGTAAACAGATGGCCAAAGACCAGAGAGGTAAAGACTCGAGATGATGCATCAGAATACCGCAAGTTTGAGAAGAAGAACCTGACGGCCTCAGGGCATACAATCGGAGAGAAGGACGATCTATGAGAAAGTCCCATCCCAGATTGCGAACAAAAGGTCTTATATCAAGTCCCACCTCAGCCAGCTCGTCCAGGGAGACATTGTAAGAAGGAAGAACTTGACGAGAGGCGAAAAAGAGAGTTTGCAGCAATGGGTTCAAGGAACAGAGTTCCAGTGAACGTCTTGATGAAGGGAAAAACCATTGCTAAGCAAAGAGGAATTGATGAGATGACTGAGATGGCAGACGGGAAGCGGGTTAAATAGGCAGGACAGGGGCAACCCTAAGCTAAAAACGGGAAACTGGACAGGCAAACAGAAAGAGGGAAAGCACAAACAAGGAAAAACAATCAATCACAAGCAAGGAAAGAAAAGACACGCAAAATAACTGCAAAAAAAATAAAGGAAAGAAAGAAAACAAAAAGAAAGGAAAGAACAGAAGCTTAAGTGACAGAAATCCCTAGAATCTCTTAGAGAGATGCCAAGGATCGAAGACCTACTTCATAGCAAAGGAAAGTAAATCGATCGGCAGACAAAGCTTTGGTAAACAAATCTGCTAATTGAAACTCAGTTGGAATGTGTTGTAAATGAATGGTGCCTGCTTGAACTAATTCACGAATGAAATGATACTTAATGTCTATATGCTTGGTACGAGAATGTTGAACTGGATTTTTGGTCATGCAAATCGCGCTTGTATTATCACATAAAAGAGGAATAGTAGAAATATTTAGCCCGTAATCACGAAGCTGACTTTTCAACCATAGGAGCTGAGTACAAGAGCTGCTGGCAGCAATGTACTCTGCCTCTGCAGTAGACAGAGCTACAGCTCCTTGCTTCTTGTAGAACCATGAAATTAAAGAAGTACCAACAAAATGACAATGTCCTGTTGTGCTTTTCTTGTCAGTTAGACTTCCAGCAAAGTCTGAATCAGTATAGCCAAGAATATCAAATTGATCTTGTTTAGCATACCAAAGACCAACATCAACAGTTCCTTTTAAGTATTGAAAAATGCGCTTAACAGCCGTTAGATGGCTTTTCTTAGGTTGGGATTGAAAACGAGCGCAGAGATAGACAGCATATTGAATATCAGGCCTGCTGCCTGTGAGATATAACAGCGATCCAATCATGCCGCGATATTTAGATTCATCAACTGGAACACCAGTTTCATCCTTATCGAGTTTTACGTTTGTTGCTATAGGAGTAGGACAAACGTTTAAGGCATTCATATCGAATTTTTGCAGCATACTAGATATATATTTAGACTGGTTGATGAAAGTTCCATGGGGAGTTTGCTTGATTTGCAAACCAAGAAAGTACTTTAACTCACCCATTAGACTCATTTCAAACACAGATTTCATTGATTCACAAAAGGAAGAGCAAAGAGCAGTATTAGTTGAGCCAAACACGATATCATCAACATATATTTGAACAATAAGAAAGTCATTTGAAGAATGTTTGACGAAAAGATTTTTATCAACGGTTCCTTGAGAGAAGCCTTGATCACGAAGAAATGATGTCAAACGATCATACCAAGCTCGGGGAGCTTGTTTAAGCCAATAAAGAGCTTTATTGAGTTTAAACACATGATCAGGATACCTATGGTCGATAAAACCAGGAGGTTGTTCGACATAGACATCTTCCTCAATAACACCATTTAAAAAAGCGCTATTGACATCCATTTGAAATAAAGGAAAGCCCATGTAGGAGGCAAAAGCACATAAGAGGCGAATTGACTCGATACGTGCAACAGGTACAAACGTTTCGTCATAGTCAATGCCTTCCTCTTGGGAATAACCCTGAGCAACTAAACGAGCTTTGTTTCTAATGATAATACCTAACTCATCTGACTTGTTACGAAACACCCACTTAGTTCCAATGATACTGACATTCAAAGGGCAAGGAACTAGATCCCAAACATGCAAATGGGCAAATTGATTAAGTTCTTCAATCATAGCCAAACACCATTCTTCATCAGTAAGAGCTTCTTTATAATTTTTAGGTTCTACTTGCAAAACATAAGCATACTGACCTGGGATATATTTACCTCTCGTACGCAGACCATCGTTTAGGTTTCCGATAACAAGATCTGCTGGATGTCTCTTTTGTATGTGAGGAGGAGCTTTATTTTCAGTACCTGGTGCTTCGAGTGAAGGATTTACTACATCACTGGCACTAGATGAAGTTAAGGTGGATGCTTCAGTGATGTTGACCGAGACTTCCTGCTCTTGAGTTGAATCTCCCTCCTCGGATTCCTCCTGTCTACCAAGTAATTCAGATAGATCAAATAACACGGCTGATGAACCAGAATCTGGTGAGGAGTTTGCGTCATTGAATATGACATGCACAGACTCCTCAACTTTCTGAGTTCTCTTATTATAAACACGAAAGGCTTGTCCTTTAACAGAATATCCTAAAAAGATGGCTAAATCAGATTTAGCATCAAACTTCCCCAGATTATCACGAGTGTTTAACACGTAGCAAGGACATCCGAACGGATGAAAGTAGGAAATATTGGGAACCTTGTTTTTGAAAATCTCATAAGGAGTTTTATTTAGAGATTTTCGAACCAAAACACGATTAATCACATGGCAAGCTCTGCTAACAGCCTCTGCCCAGAAATATTTAGGTAAATTGTACTCAAGAAGTAACGTTCGAGCACACTCAATAAGAGTGCGATTCTTACGTTCGAAAACTCCGTTTTGCTGAGGAGTGCGAGGGGCTGAAAAATGTGAGAGATCCCAGCATTATTGCAGAAGATTTCAAAGTCTTCTACAATAAACTCACCCCCATTGTCACTCTTAACAGTTCTAATTTGCCCAGAAAACAAAGCACAGAAGGTCTTGAATTTAGCTAAGGTTTCATCCTTGTGAGCTAAAAAATACACCCAGGTATATCTGGAGTAGTCATCGACTAGAACAAACACATAATTTTTACCTCCTAGACTAGTAACAGTACAGGGACCGAACAGGTCCATGTGAATTAATTCAAACATGGCCTTGGTCGAGACATCAGTCTTAGATTTAAAAGATTTTTACCTATGCTTACCAGAAACACAAGTCTCACAGAAAAAATTTGACTTATCTTTTATAACAGGAATTCCTCGCACCAGGTTTAATCTCGACAAAATAGCCAGTTTTGGTAAACTGATGTGTCCGAGTTTCCTGTGCCATAGGAGCTCCTGTTGAAAGGATACTACAAAGCAGTACTCATTAAACGCATCCAAGTTTTGCATATCTATGATATACATGTTATTCTGTCGAGTACCCACAAAGATAATCTGATTATCAGAAATACGTTCAACAAGACAGCGAGATGATTCAAAGACAACTCTATGCCCATTTCCACACAATTGACTAATAGAGAGTAAATTGTGCTTTAAGATTTTCTACAAGAAGAACATTATGAATCATAGGTAAGGGCTGCTGTCCAATGGTTCCTGTTTCAATAATAGTTCCGGAACTGTCATCACCGAAGATTACCTTAACTCCACGTTTCAAAGTCAGAGAAGAGAAGAGATTACGCTTACCGGACATATGATGGGAACAGCCGCTATCTAAGTACCATAAAGAGTCATTGTTAGCCTGCTTTTATGCATAAGAACTTTCAACTGATAGATTTGACTGAGTAGAACTTGAGTCTATTGCCATAAGTGGCATTTCTTCTTCTTGATCTTCGTCTGCGTCTGACTCATAATCACTCCATGATGCTTTCATGGCTCGCTCCTTTGCTTTGAGAGTTTGTGGACAATTAGCTCGAATATGACCGAGCTTTCCACATTTATAGCAAGCCTGCCCCTCGCGTTCTGAATGTCCTGTTTCTGAAAATCTGGTCTGCTGGTAAGGCAGCTTATCTTGCGAAACATTCTTAAAACGACCATTAGTCATAAATCTGGACTCATCAGACCTACGTTTCTGATCATTCTTATAGCGCAACATACGATGAAAATTTTTGCTGACGAGAGAAAATTCTTTGTCAAAGTCACTAGTAGAATCCTCATCAGAATCATACTCAACTTTAGACTTGAATGCTAGACTCTTTTTACGTTTTTCATCATCCTGAGATACTTGCCTAATCACATGCTCATGACCTAATAGCGACCCAATTAACTCATCAATAGGCAATCGATTTAAGTCTTTCGCCTCTTCTATAGCAGTTCGCTTAGGAAGCCACTCTTTAGGAAGAGATCGAAGAATTTTTTTGTTTAGATCCTTCGATTGAAAATCCCGACCTAATCCTTTCAGTTTATTGATAAGAACAGTAAACCTAGAATACATGTCCTGAATACTTTCACCAGCAGCCATATTAAAAGCTTCATAATCATGCAAAAGAAGATCTATTCGAGTTTCTTTAATGTTTGAGGTACCTTCATAAGTTCTTTGCAGAGCACTCCAGATTTCTCTGGCCGATTCGCAGTTTTCGACTTTGTCGGCCTCTTCTGGTAGCATCGCCGATTGGAGAACATGCATCGCGCGCTGGTTCAATTGAGCACTCTTCTTTTGGGCTGCATTCCACTCGAATTGATTTTCAACATCCATTTCGAGAGGGCCGTTCTGCACCACAAGCCACAGCTCGTCATCTATCCCCCACAGGAAGGTCTTCATTCGCTTCTTCCAAGCGGTATAGTTTCCTCCGGTGAAGATGGGAGGCGAATTCAGTGGTCCATGCCCGAAATTTGATGACGCCATGGATCTTTGACTTGGCAGCAGCTAGCTCCTATCAAGCAGCAGCTCTGATACCACTGTTAAACAAGGATAGCACTGAAGAAATGAGAGAAAAAGCACCGATCAGATAAGAAGAGAGAGGATGAGAAACGAGGGCAAGGAAGAGTGAGGCTTGATCACTCTTCTCATCCGTTCCTTCCTGAAACTAAATACTATGGGCTAGACTAAACTTAGGCCCACAATAGTCTTAAAACAAATAGTTAGGAAACCTTGCTGGGCCAGAATGAAAAAGCCCACTGTTCTAAAGTCTGGAACCCGTCTTCTTCGTTGGGATGAAGAAGGTTCAGAAACATGGGTGATTTCCAGAACAGAGCAAGCAACAAGTAAAGCGAAAGAGAAGGATCAGAGATAGCACACGAGATTTTTAACGAGGTTCCCAAACTACTGGTACGTCCTCGTCCTAGACTCAGTACACACTGAGGTCTAGGAGACTCTTTTTATTTGATTTTTCCTATCAAGCAAAAGAATGAAAAACAGCAGACTCAAGACTGAAAACAAGAACGAAATTGTA